CTCCCCCGCACCCTCCAATGATGCTCACCCTCTGTCCCCCAGTCGTCGACCTTTCTCTCGACACGCTGCAGCTCCTGTCCGACAGCCCGGAGGTCCAGCCGACCATGCTCAAGGAGCCCGGCCTGCTGGCGGCGTTGGACCGCGTCATTGCCGTCGGCTCGACTGACGAGCAGCGCAGCCGCGCCACCCTGATCAAGAACAATCTCCGCTCGACAGCCTCGCGCCCGGGCGCCGGCACGCCCTCCGGCCCCGGCAAGCAGGCCGGCCCCGGCATGTCGGCCAGCTCGCCCGCCCTGAATGCCTCGACTTCCTCCTCCTCGGCCGCGGCCTCCTCCGCCTCTTCCTCCTTCTCGACGACGGCGGCCTCCAGCGGGGAGGAGGCCCTGCCGCACGGCGCACCGGGCACCTCCTCCAGCCGGACCTCCTACTTTACTAATTACACCGGCGCCGGCGAGTCGGGCCATGTGTTCAGCACCGGCATCGGGGGTGCCTCGCGCGGCGCTGGCATCCGTCCTGGCGGCATGTCCGGCATCATCAACAAGACCTCCCTGATGGACCGCGGTGCTGGTGGCGGCTTCGGCGGTGCCGGCTTCAATGGCATGGAGTCCGGTCACTCGACTTTCGGCGGTGCCGGCCTCAACCGGCCTGGTGGCGGGGTGCGTATGCATCACCAAAGCACATGTGTGCTGTGCCCGTCCAGGCGCACATATTCCATGCCCGAGGGAGCCTTTCGGGGTCCTCCTGTCCTCATCTCTCGGCGGCGCTCCTCTCCCACTGTGTGATTGACCTTTCCCGTGCATCCCGCATCCCGCATCCCGCATCCCGCATCCCGCATCCCGCATCCCCGGCTCAGATCCCCGGCGCTGGTCCCAGCGTTTTCTCCGCCTCTTTCAAGGCCGCCCGCAGCTACACCCTTCATATGGAGTCCTTGGTGGACCCGGCCATGCGAGGGCTTGTCGAGAAGGCCCTGGTTTCGGTTCGGGGGATCATCTCCTTCACGGTGGACCCGCGCACGTGCCGGATCACCGTGCGCGCCCGGTCGGACTTCCCCCTGGAGGCTCTCTTCGCCTGCATCCTGACCATCGAGGTGGATAACCCCTCGCTGCTGAATGTCCAGCAGGTGGTCCGCGCGGCCGACGGCACCGAGACCCTGGTCGAGCCGGACTGCCCGAAGGACGACGAAGGCCCCTACGTGCCGGGGTACTTCGACGACGATGACTACGGTACGGGCGCCCTGTCTGGTGGTGTGGCGGTGCTCATTGTGCATGGTGTTCCCTTTGCCCGCTGTCTCCTCCTCTCCTGGTGGCTGGTCTTTCCTCCCATCCTCCTCTTCCTCCTCCTCCTTCTCTTGCTTACACACGCACACGCACACGCACACGCACACGCACACGCACACGCACACGCACACGCACACGCACACGCACACATGCACGGCCTGCCGCCACGATGCTCTTCCCGGTCGTGTCTCTCCCCGCCACATCCACCCAGACAACGAGACCAAGGCGAAGTCGGCCGTCTCGCACCAGAACGTGTCCCAAGGCGGCGCCGGCGGCGATGGCCTCCTATCGTCGATCGGCTCCTTCATCACCAACTTCTGGGGCTGAGAGCGAGCGAGACAGAGAGCAAGAGGGCGGGGGGGGGGACGCTAAGCGAACGAGAAGTACCAAAGACACAGAGGAACCCCGAGGGCCGCTTTTCCCCATATCCCCCTCGCATGGGGGAGCAAATCGAGGCAGGGCAGAAAGAGAGTTCCAGGGCGACAGAGCCGGCCCCCGGGGGAGGGGAAGCCGGCCGGCTGGCTGGCCGCGCCCTCTCCTCCCTCGCCGAGATTCGCGCACGCACGCACGCACATTTGTCCGCCCCTCTTACGTCCATCTCTCCCCCCTTGCCAACGATTCGTCGTCCTCTTCTCCCGCTCTTTCTTCCGGCCTCCTCCTTCCAGCTCCTCTCCTCTTCCCTCCCTCCCTCCCTCCCCCCCCCCTATCTTCCACACATTTTTTATCAGTCCTTGTCCAGTTTCCCTCTGTGGCCAATCGTCTCCCTCCCTTCCTCCCCTCCGAGATGACCCCCTTCTCCTTCCTTCTCTCCCCCGTGCGGGTGTTTCCCCCCCCCCCCTCCCTGGGGAGAATGTACGGCATTTCCTCTCCTCCCTGTGTCTTCGCCGTTGATCTCGTGTGCCTCCCTCGGTTTCTGGCATCAGCCTTTGCCTCCGCCTCGAGGGGGGGTGGGCTGCCAGATCGGCGCATGTCACGGCATCACCGTCGCATGTGTACATCTCCCCCCCCCCCTACCTTGGTGGTTTCCTGTTTCCCCCCGAGGCCAGGGCGGGGGACCGGGCAGCTGTGGCGATGCAGACCAGCGGGGGATGGGGTTTCCCGGGCGAGCTTGGTGTGGGCATGTGAATGGGGGCAAATGCGCATGCTTGTGGGTGCCGTTGGAGTGGCTTCGGTGGCAGCACAAGCAGCTGGTTGACGCCCTGGCAGCCTGTCCTGCCACCCGG